GTGTGCTGCCCTCTAACATCAGCCATATTACCCAGTGTGCTGCCATCTAACATCGTCATCGTCTAATGACTATAATGATTATTTATTTGCATTGATGTCTTAGTTGTGTTTGGCAGCTGGGCGGATCATACTCTATATTGGTGGCAAAGACGAGAAAAAAGCAATGTGTTGTTTATCACCTATGAAGAGTTCAAACAGGTATGCATTTAACTCTCAGCAATAGGTGAACTGTAGGAATAAAATCTCCAGCCCTCTGTTTATACCATGTACAATAAAATAACTCATTGATATATATACATGTCAAATCTGTGATAAAATAATATGAACATGTACACAGACAAAAATGTGATACAGGGGTTTTTCTAGAAACAAAAATGCTAGAGGGAACACTGCAATCCATGAGCGCCACCAAGTGGGGGAGATAGGGTTTTCCCTCCTCGGGTGTGGAGTTTTTGATATTTCTAAGTTAAAATGGAGCATTCTATGGCTTCATTGGGGTCAAAATTACTATCAGACAGGTCACAGTTGAAGACTGTGGCCACATGTGATTCCTGGTGTGATCAGAATTATATAGTTGCCAGAGTATCTGCTCCCCATGGTAAAAAAAAAATCTCTGTGATATCCAGATGTTTTGAGTGTTGTGAATGGCGAGGAATTTTTAATTTTAATAAATGTTGGAATAGAACTCATTGCGTTCCTTCCAAATTCATGAACTTAAAACCCAGTGAAATTGCTCAAAGATCCAAATCCAGTGAAAATAAATGCTTTTACAATATATTTAAATAAGGTAAACCAATAATAAATATTTGTTAATGTTTTTCTCTGCAAACCTGATTCACTTTACTTCAATTTCTAGTACAATGTATTCTTTCTAGCAAACGTATACTAACTATAATGGTGAATATGAAATAATGTCCCAATTCCATCTAAATATGAAATCATTCTATTATTTGTTTATACTCTAATTGTTTATTATTAAACTCAGAACCGAAAAAACGTCATGAACCAAATTAGGGAATTTTTGGGAAAGGAAATAGAGACAAGTATACTGGATGACATTGATAAGAAATCAGTGTCAAAAAGAGTGTTGAACAAGGAACAAATGAAAGAGGCATCAAGATTTCCAAAACAAGGTATGTTAAAATTTTACCAGCTATTAAAGTTAAAAAAATACTATTATCAAAATAGTGCTCAGATTTTTATTACTGTAAATTTTGATTTTGAGCATTGTGTATAATGGATAACTATTTTTACCCTATATTTCAATTTTTTGAAACGTTCTCACAATATTGGGATTCAGTGTTCTCCACGAGGGGTTTTAGGAGGGCGCAGCGCCCTGCATAGGAAGTCGTGCGCCCTGCATAGGTAGTCGTGCGCCCTGCATCGGTCAACAAGCGCCCTGCATTCACATTTCCCGCCCCGATCAAATACATTGTATTGTTAGTTGAGTATTCAGTGTTCTCCACGAGGGGTTTAAGGGGGCGAAACACCCCTCTTCAATTTGTAGCGCCCTTCTATTTATCTTCAGCACCCTCCTTTGTTTTCGGTGACACAGGTTTCACATTCCCGGAAGATGTCCCGACGATGTTATTGAGAGACCTCTTATTAATTGACAGGCGACAAAACAAAGAACTAAGAGACATATAGTGGCATAGGTGACAACTAGGACAATGGATTTGATGTCTGGGGAAAAACTGACTGAATAAATAAACTAAAAACAATGAATGGATGCGTGAAGTGATTGTCACAAGCATTGCGTTAATCACGCAATGGGATAGTCAAAACAAGTTTTCTCATCATTCCTGAATTAGCTTAGATACTTAAGAACAGGAGAACCAGCAACAATTTATTGGTCCAATTGCTTGTTACTTGCCTTTTATTGGCGAAAAGTAAAAAGAATAATCAAATAAATCACCAAAACAAAACGTACAGTAAACACTGAAACAACATGGATGTCACGGTATCTGATTTGACCTTTGTCCTCAGTAC